TACGTATAAATACGTACGTAAATATGCGTATGGGGTATAAATACGTACATATTTATGTATAAATACGTACGTAAATATCCATACGGGTTTAAACCCGTACGCATACATACGTATAAAATACGAAGTTTCAATTTTTGTACCGTTTATATCGCTTTTTTTTATGTTATGCATCTCTTTCTTTCTCTCTCTCTCTCTCTTTCTCTCTCTCTCTCTCTCTCTCTATATATATATATATATATATATATATATATACGTTACCGCAATTTATAAAGCTTTTTTTTATGTAATGCATCTATATATATATATAAATACGTTACTGCAATTTATATCGTTTTTTTTACGTAATGCATATATATATATATATATATATATATATACGTTACCGCAATTTATGTCGTTTTTTTTACGTTATGCATCTCTCTCTATATATATGTATATGTTACCGCAATTTATATCGTTTTTTTTACGTAAATATGCGTATGGGTTTTCAACCGTACGCATATATATATCTATCTATGTATTTATACAAAATAAATTTGTATTTCATGGGTCATACGAATCTCTACTTACTTTGAGGGCTCAGACCTAAGTAATTAAATATATCAGAAAAGCACTCGGGGACAACGACGTGCGTCTGAACATGTTCAGAAACACATGTTTCGGTTCTTAGAGTAGGAGGTTGGTATTTATAGTGAAATTGGTATTAGAAAAAAAATCAAAATTTTTTTTTACCCGGGGCGAGGTCAAACACGGTCAACGAGAGGATGAACAGTAATCTCGACTTTTGAGGAATTTTTTTTTAAGACTAATGGGGGGATCGCCCCCGTAGTGTACGGATCGTTCCCGGGGGCGATCCGTGTGGTCATTCCGGTAAAACCTCTAAAATGTGGTTATTTTGTGGCAAAAAAGTTGTGTAAACCGGTTATTTTTATAAATAATCCTATTTAAAATTAGATGTTTATTTCGTAATTTAATTACATTTATGTATAATTAGTCATACGAGTTCAAAAATTGAGCGTTACTAAGTTGTACTCAGTACTTATACACAATTTACTTATAATCTTGGACTTTAAATAATATCATTAATAAATAATACTTCATGTATAAAAAATGATTTTTAAATGTTGTATAATACTAGAAAAGTATTCGAGCAACACAGTGAAATACATCTCGATTTTAATGTTTTGTTTTATTATTTGTTTTTGTCGATATAATACTGTTATATGGTTTTAAGAAAATGACAATGTTTTTATTTTTGAGTCAAATAATTTAAATCGTTGTTTTGTTATGTAATTTCTTTAATTTAAAATTTTTATTATGATTTAATTTAGGTTAAATAAATAAATAATTTATTTTTTATTTAATAATATAATTTTTTATAAAGATAAGTATTTTATTAAAACTTAATATTATTCTAATTATATTTTAGATTTTTTAATATATATTTATGTTTTTAATTATACAAATTTAAAAATAAAGTTTTAATATAAATTATATTTAATACTGATTCACGTGTGGAAAAATAGTTTCAATTTTTTATTAAATATTTTATAATATAATTATAGATTCTTTAAAATTCCAATCCATACGTTATCTTACCCTCCCTGTTATGTCAGGTGGATGTAAGCAACCGTTCAAAGGTCATCGACGTAGTTAACATCCAACCGTTCATTCTACCAACCATTCAAACGCCATTCCTATAACAGTCCCAATCTAAATCACCACTACTCGTCCAACTCAAACAGAAACCCAAAACCCCCATATGTAAAATGACCATCCTACCCCTGCTACTCTACGCTTCCATCACTGGGTTACTACTCTATGTTTTGCTTAACCTACGCACCCCTCGTTCTAACCGCCTCCCGCCCGGTCCAACCCCATGGCCAATCATCGGAAACTTACCTCATCTCGGCAGAATTCCGCATCATGCGTTGGCGGCCATGGCTACAAAGTACGGCCCGTTGATGCATCTCCGGCTCGGCGTCGTTGACGTGGTGGTGGCGGCGTCTGCGTCGGTGGCGGCACAGTTTTTGAAGGTTCATGACGCGAATTTCGCGAGTAGGCCGCCGAACTCCGGAGCGAAGCATATCGCGTATGATTATCAGGATCTGGTGTTTGCACCGTATGGTCCGAAGTGGCGAATGCTTCGGAAGATTTGCTCGGTGCATCTGTTCTCGAACAAAGCACTCGATGATTTCCGTCATGTTCGAGAGGTTTTTGTATCTTCGAAGTATCAATTCTAGATTTGATTTGAAACTTCTATGATTTCCTTTTCCGATGTGAAGTTTTTTATATTTTCAGGAGGAGGTGGCGATTCTGGCGCGCGCTTTGGCCGGAGCCGGACGATCGACGGTGGCGTTAGGTCAACTTCTTAACGTGTGCACCACAAACGCGTTGGCACGAGTGATGTTAGGTCGGAGAGTATTCGGCGACGGAAGTGGAGGCGTCGATCCAAAGGCGGATGAATTCAAGGATATGGTGGTTGAGCTGATGGTATTAGCCGGCGAGTTCAACATCGGCGACTTCATTCCGGCGCTTGATTGGCTGGACCTGCAAAGCGTGACGAAGAAGATGAAGAAACTCCATCTCCGATTCGATTCGTTTCTTAACACAGTCCTTGAAGACCATAAAAATGGCGGTGACGTCGTTTCAGGTAACGTAGATTTGCTGAGCACGTTGATTTCGCTCAAGGATGACGCCGATGGAGAGGGAGGGAAGCTTTCAGACATCGAAATCAAAGCTCTGCTTCTGGTAAGCACCGAAGACCACTGTTTCAGTACATATACCATATACGGAAACATATTATCCCGATATTTCCTTCAAAATAGTATTCTAAAAAAAGCAAGTACTTTTAATAAATGTACACAAACATGCCTGGATTTTGATGTTTAGCTGGTTAAGACATTCTTTAAATCGGAAAAATGAAGTTTTTGTAATTATTTAATTAATTTTTTATTTTGTTTGATATTTTTAATTCATTAGATCGAATTAATATTATTTTATATTAATTTTTAAAAAATATATAAAATTATAGAATATTTAAATAATATTTAAAAATAAAAAATCTGTTAAAATATGATTTAATTCATCTTACGTAGAGAAATCATAGAAAATCCGGTAGGGAATCCGCTCGTAGGTCGTCGCTCTGCCATGTTGGTCCCGTCTTTGGAAGACAGGGAATGTGATAATCTACACGCTTCTCTTTACACCATACTGTAGGGTTTTTTCATCAGTTGTAGGGTTTATTGGGTTTGAGGAGGTATTAATAGAATGTGATACATATAATAAGTAACACGTGTCTAATAGTCATGTTTAAAAAAACTATAATAAAATATGAAAAATCAAAATCTTTAAAAAAATTACATCTAATTTTTGATTTATGAAAAACTGTTTATTAACAGTTTAATGTATTATATATTATTAAAAAAATATTTATTAAAATAATAAGCGAATTCTTTTCACTAATGTTCTCTATCTCATCCCAATTTGATTAAAACCTGAAAGAAAATTGATACAATAATATTGCCCACTTTTTTTAAGTATAAAATATTTATATACGGAAAATGCAACAAATAAACTCATACAACTTTCTCATCTTTTATGAGATTTGAACCCCCGACCTCTTAGGAGGCCAAAAACTACGATACTGCTAGATCAAACGCCCTTTCATAATATTTGCTAATTTATGTTCAAAACATTTAATTTTAACAATATAAATAGTTGATTATATTCAGTTTTTTTTTTAATAAATAACATTTAGTTTGATAAAATCTTGCTTAAATTATTAAAGAATGTTTGATTAGATGTATTAAACAGTAATCAATTGAGTGAAAAAAAAAAAAAAAAAAACTGTTTGATTTTATACAGTATAATAGGTTCATTATCCATAAGGCCAAATTTTCCTTCAATGTTAAACTGGGGTGGGGATAAAATTTCATTATTATTTTCAATTCATGTCATTTTCCGTTTTCATTCTCATTTTCAGTTTCCATACTGAACCAAACAGCTCCTTAATGTTACAGAATTTGTTCGCTGCGGGAACAGATACGTCATCTAGTACAGTGGAATGGGCAATGGCTGAACTTATTCGCCATCCACAACTAATGAAGCAAGCCCAAGAAGAAATGGACACTGTAGTCGGTCGAGACCGACTTGTATCTGAATTGGACCTGAGTAGACTAACATTCCTTGAAGCCATTGTGAAGGAAACCTTTAGGCTCCACCCATCGACCCCACTCTCCTTGCCACGGATTGCATCTGAGAGTTGTGAAGTCAATGGATATTACATTCCCAAGGGATCCACGCTTCTTGTTAACGTGTGGGCCATTGCTCGAGACCCAAAAATGTGGACCGACCCGCTTGAATTCCGACCCAGTCGATTCTTGCCAGGGGGTGAAAAGCCGAATGCTAACGTGAAGGGAAATGATTTCGAAATCATACCATTTGGAGCCGGTCGAAGGATTTGTGCAGGTATGAGCCTAGGGTTAAGGATGGTTCAGTTGCTCATTGCGTCACTCGTTCATGCCTTCGATTGGGAATTGGCTAACGGGTTAGACCCAGAGAAGCTCAACATGGAAGAAGCTTATGGGTTGACCCTTCAAAGGGCTGCACCCTTGATGGTGCACCCAAGCCCGCGGTTAGCTCCCCATTTATACAAAAGTAGTTAAAGACTAATGTTGTGTTCTCGAAACTTTTATCACGAAAAAAAAGAAAAGAAATGGAAGTAAAGTAAAAAAAAATCACGTTCTATGAACCTTTTTAGGGGAGAGAAATAATAATAAGTTTCCTTCCCAAACTCTTTTCTTAAAGGGAGGAGGAAAGAGACGGAAAATAGAGGGAAAATATTAAAACCCTTTAAACAAATTATCAAAATTACAATTAACATTTCATTTTAAATGACATATTTTAAACGGTTTATTTGTAAAATCAGTATCTTCCCTTTCTTTCCTGTCATGTTTAAGAACTGTATTTCCTTTTTTTCCGAATTCGAGAACACAGAATAAATGATAGGGTGTTTTTTTTTATGTATGTAGTTATGTTTGTTTGAAGTTGGTTAATAAAATTTTAGTTTTGTGTAATATATATACTATATTATAAAGCATTTGACAAAAACTCTTAAAAACTATTTTTTATGCATAAAATACTGTTTATTAATGCATGTTACATAAAACTCAAGATTACAAGTAGATTGTGCGTAAGTACAATTAAAGCTCTATATCTTAATTTGTATAACTCACTGCAGATAAACATAATCAAATACATGATAAACATATCATTTTAAATATAAAAAATCTAAATATAATTAACATAATCATTGAGTTTTAACATAATAGTTAATTATTATCTTTATAAAATATTATATTATTAAACCAAATATAAA